AATTCATTCCAAGTGAAGACCACCTGCAAATCGAAAAGAAAACATTTATTAATAATATGATTAATTAATTGAAGTACTATGATAGATAAGTGAGAAATGGGAAAAATAATTACCTTTTAGCGAATGGAAATTCAACATTATTTTGTTGGATAGGTGCTAGATTGGTCATTCTTGACTAACCCCATGCTTGAAGAAGAACACCACATCCGGTCCAGTTTCCCGAATTTGCTATTGAGTTGTTACATAAAGACCGATATAGGTGCGTTAGTGTTGCGGACCCCCAACTATATGTTTTTATTTTATTTACATCTTCTAATAAAAGGTAAGTACATAGAGTGAACAACGTTTCCACTTGTATCCGGACATAAAAATAACCCTATTAATAACATAATATAAATTCGAGTTTTTCTAATTTTTAATATTTTAGGAGACTCTGGAGTTAATCTCAAGTCTCTATAAATTTTTTTGAGCCATGACATTAAATTTTTTTGCAACCTCATATCTCGTGGGGTTGGTTCAACCCCTAAGAGTTCTCCTATGACACTACCGCTAGGATTGGTTATACCGTTTACCGCCTTACCATCTATGGGTAAACCCAATAACATGTATGTGTCCTCGAGTGTAACTGCACATTCACCTATTGGAAGATGAAATGTGTGCGTCTCGGGACGCCACCTTTCTTGCAGAGCCAAGATAAACTTGGTATCAAGGAGATAATTTGTAGTGTTAATTACTTCTCCAAATCCCGCACGCTCCAAAAAAGGTTGAATTAACGAGTCATATGGGAAATGTTTATGCCCACGAGTACGAAAGTCATGAGTATTCTACATAAAAACAAACAAGAAATTAGAACATTGTATTTGTAAAAACAAGAAATTAGAACATTGTGAATTATCAAGTACAACTACTTACATAAGACGCGATGTTGCTTGGTGTTCCTCTATGCGTTTCACCCAATGTTAACAGAGACATGACTTCTATAGTGTGGATATATGAGGAAAATATATGGGAGAATTTGAATTGTTGGATATATTTGATGTGTTTTTTGGAATGAGGAGGAGTAGTATTTATAGTAAAAATTTTGAATTTGAAATTTGAAATTTGAAATTTGAATTTATGGTTGTAGAGGTAAAAATTAAATTTGTGTAGTTGAAATATTGATTGATGTGTAGAGAAGTTAATGAGATAGATGAATTTGTGTAGAAAAGAGATTGATGTGTAGTAAATTTCGTACACATGTCATTTTGCATGCATGCAAAAAGTGAATTTTCTTACACATGTCACAGGGGAGCCATACCCCACGACGCCCCCCTTATATCTTAATGAAGGGGAGCCATACCCCATGGCGCCCCCTTATGTATTAATGAAGGGGAGCCATACCCCACGGCGCCTCCCTTATGTTTTTCATAATATTAAATTCGTGACCATTTCATCTATATGTATACATTCAAGACAAAATATTATACATCTCATTGTATCCTAACACATCCCTTAAACTATCATTCAACTATGTCTAGACCAACAAATTATATTGTTCATGCCCATTTTAATGGAGAGACTTTCATCTCTGAGAATTCGGGTTTTGGGTTTCAAAATACAGATCTTACCCGATTAACAATGAGTAGAAAAGCAAATTTTGTGCATTTCAAAGAGCGCATACAGTCGAAGATTTTGTCTGGTCAAATCTCCCAGATCATTTACAGAAGTCCTGTTTTTTTTTTTTTACAACAATCAGGTTAAGTATTTTCAAGAGAAAATACAAGACAACAACGATGTTGATCAAATGTTTGATAGTCATGAACACTCTGGCTTCGACTATATCGAGGTTTATCTGTTACTCTGCCAAACTGAACATGAGGTTGGCGAAACAACAGATATAGATGAAATTGATGTTGTGGACGAGGAGGAAGAAGATCCAGAGGCCATGGTTGATCAAATGGTTAATTTGTTCGGGACCGGGGACTACACTGCAATGACTCCCCTACAAGACATAGATGAAGAGGCCCTACCATTAAATCAAGTGTATTGTCCTCCCCAACACATGACGAACTTGCAATTCAGTGGAGATGATACTTCCTCAGATTATTTCTACAATCCTTCTCAACAAATTGAAGGTGTCTTGAAAGTCGGAAACCAGTACCGCACAAAAGAGGAGTGCATGAAAGCCATAAGAAAGTTTCATATGGATAACTTTGTTGATTTTTACATCAATTGGAATGACTCAAAACGCTATGTCGTAGTTTGTCGTAACGCAAGTTGCAAGTTTCGGTTAGCAGCGTCCTATCGGAAAAGAAGTGATTGTTTGGAGATAGGTTCGATGGATCCACCTCATAGTTGCACAACCAACATCAATCAGCAAGATCATGGAAAACTAAGCTCTCAATTGATATCCCAAGAGATTTTGCATCTTGTGGGCGCGGATCCATCTGTGAAGGTGAGCACAATTATCTCTCATGTTGTTGCACGGTTCAACTTTACCCCATCGTATAGGAAAGCTTGGATAGGTAGAATAAAAGCGGTGGAACATGTATATGGGAATTGGGAGCATTCTTACCATCAACTTCCACAGTATCTACTAGCACTTCAAAAATATGTTCCTGGTACGGTTGTAATATTGGAGTCACTACCAGCATACACTCCTGAAGGAACATGTGTTGCTGGAAGTAGGATATTTTCTCGTCTCTTTTGGGCATTTCAACCATGTATCAAAGGTTTTGCGTTCTGCAAACCAGTTATACAAGTCGATGGAACATGGTTGTATGGAAAATACAAAGGAACATTGTTGATGGCGGTAGCACAAGACGGAAATAATAATATATTTCCGATTGCCTTTGCCCTGGTCGAGGGTGAGACAGGCGAAGCTTGGAGTTTCTTCCTCAGAAATCTCAGAACACATGTCGCACCTCAACCCAACTTATGTCTGATTTCTGACAGACATGCTTCTATTGTGAGCGCCTACAATAATCCTGCTAATGGTTGGCACAATCCTCCTTCTGTCCATGTCTTCTGCATAAGACACATTGCTCAGAATTTTATGCGGGAAATTAAAGACAGAAATCTCCGTAAAAAAGTTGTGAACGCTGGGTATGCCTTAAACCAACCATCGTTCATGTATTACCGAGAAGAAATAAGGTTGTCAAGCGCGGAAGCATTAAGGTGGGTGGATAATATTCCAGTCGAGAAATGGACTAGGTCATTTGATGGAGGGTGTAGATGGGGTCACATGACCACAAATTTTGTAGAATCCCTAAACGGCGTATTTAAGGGAACTAGGAACCTCCCCATCACTGCGTTGGTAAGGGCAACGTATTACAGATTGGGGTCACTTTTTGCGGCAAGAGGCAAAAAATGGAGCGTTGTACTGCAATCAGGGCAAATATTCAGCGAATCAAGCATGAAGTATATGAGGGATGAAACTTCTAAGGCGGCCTCACATCGAGTTAGACCATTTGATCGTCACGATTACAGCTTCATTGTTGATGAGACAATGGATCACAACGAGGGTCGGCCAATGGGACACTACAGGGTGGAACTTCATAAAAATTGGTGCGACTGCGGAAAGTTTCAAACCTTCCGCATGCCTTGTTCACATGTCATTGCCGCATGTTCAACTGCTCGTCAGGATCCATTCTTGCAGCTATCAGAAGTTTACAAGGTCGTGAACTTATTCGGTATCTACAGTAGCAGTTTTCCAGTGGTAGCTAGTGAGGACTACTGGCCAACCTATCATGGAGACACAATCTACCACAACGAAAATATGAGAAGAAACAAAAAGGGCCGCCCCAAAAGCACCCGAATTACAACTGAAATGGATACAACTGAGAAAATGGAAAGATTGTGCGGAATATGTCGTCTTCCCGGGCATACGAGGAAAAACTGTCCAAATGTTGGAACAAGTTCTAGGTAGATTTAATTTGGTCTTTACAATTTGTGTAATCGTGGAATTTAATATTTATATCAACTTTTCATTACCACAAAAACGAATTGAAATACTTCTACAGCAACAACGCAAATCATTAAAAATACAACGATTATTACAACATAACCTAAGATATAACAACAATCAAAGTAATATCATCAGTTCCGAACATCATAGACCTAACTTCGTTGTCATCTCTAATTCGCACCCAGTCCCGCCGTATGTTTCCGTCTTCAACAGAGAAGTACGAGATAAGTCTTTCAATACTCCTAATTCTTTCACCATTTGGAATGTCTCCTTCTAGCCACTCATTCAAATTTCTTCGTAGTTGTTCTAAACTCTGGATGTTCCAAAACAACATCCTTATCGGAGGCTTCGTCGGTGAAAAAATTACATGCCCATATCTTCTAAGGTACATGACTCACTCTTCTAAATTTGGATGAAACAATGTTAACAACAAGTCTACCTATTTATAAAAAAAAAAATTAGAATAACATAATATAAAATTTTAATTATATTAATTATAATATATTTGAAAAATTATTTTCGTTTAAAGGGAGCTCCATAGGGGATGACGCCCCCCTTTAAGTCATTTAAGGGAGGAGTCAAAGGGGATGGCGCCCCCTTTATAATTTATAGGGTGCCTCCATCCTGGATGGCGCCCCCATATAAATTATAAGGGAGGAGCCATACCCCATGGCGTCCCCTTGTAAAAATAAAAAAAAAACAAAAGTTGGGTAGATTGAAGAATATGAGAGAAAGTTGGGTAGTTTGGATATTAAGGGGGGTAATGTTGGTTATTTGGGTGAAATTTTTGCTAAAACTTCGATCCGTTCAAAAAAAAAAAACATACAATCATAATAGACATGTTAGGCAAAACCAGTCATATATTGATATTAGTATATTTTATTAAATTTATTCTTATTTATATTATTAACTATTATTCTAGGATAAAATATAACTAAACCTAATATCTAATAACCAATAGTGTAACCCATCTTTACTCACTGGCCTATAAATATGTCATCCAACCCACAGTGTAAAACACATCTTTCCTTACTTTCCCTTGTTGACTGCAAAAATGGAACTTCAGCACCTTGTCATTTTCATCTCAGTTCTTTCTGTATGTTTTTATGCTCTAATCACATCTTTTCTTTTCACGTCCCTGATCCTTGACTTTACTCTTCTGAACAATGTTTAATTAACTTGTTGTGATATGCAGCTTGCATTAGGTGGAGAAAGCCATGCATCAGTGGTTCCTGAAGAAGAATATTGGGAAGCTGTTTGGCCTAACACTCCCATTCCCAATTCTCTCCGAGATTTTGTAAAGCATGTCCCTCAGGGTTAGACGTTGCATCAACATTATATTCTATGTTTTTATATCTGAATCTAACCATATCAAAAATAATTTTATTTAACCATTTTGAACCTATTTATTAACGGCCCAGGTAATGAAATTGATGACCTCCCCATGGAAATCGACGATACTCAATACCCAATGACTTTTTTCTATGAACATGAACTTTATCCCGGAAACACTATGAACGTGCAATTCAGAAAAAATCCCTTTGCACAACCTTATGGTTTTTTGTTTTATATGGGCGACAATAAAAAGGAAAGATATACTTTTAATGATGTATGTGTAAAGAGTGAACCAATCAAAGGCGAACAAAAATTTTGTGCAAAATCCTTAAAATCATTAATTGGATTTACAATTTCAAAACTTGGAAATAACATTCAACCACTCTCGAGCTCCTTCATAAGTAAACACCAACAATACAAAATAGAGTCAATGATAAATCTTGGAGAAAAAGCTGTCATGTGTCACAGGTTAAATTTTCAAAAGGTGGTATTTTATTGTCATGAAGTTCACGGAACAACAACTTTCATGGTTCCATTGGTTGCTAATGATGGAACCAAAACACAGGCACTAGTTGTTTGCCATACTAATACTTCAGGCATGGATCATGAAATGCTTCTTCAGGTTATGAGAGGAGATCCTGGTAATAAACCTGTATGTCATTTCCTTGGAAATAAGGCTATTATGTGGGTACCTAATTTAGTTGTGGACAGTGACTACAGTGCCAATCATGTTGTTTAGTACTTATTATCCATCATGGCCACACTATGGGATTGTGTAACCTAAATAAATTGTCCTTTGAAATGTATGTCAACCTAAATAATTTGTGGTGTGAAATGTATGTCATGCTGGTACCTTTTGTGTAATATGTAATCCTAGAGAGAGGCATTATCTGTTGCTTGTGTTTTGATCAAGTTATAATATAATAAATATGGAGTGTGGCTCATTGTTGAATATTTTTTTTAAGGGTGTAACTTATTATATAAAAAGAACAAAAGTACAGTGCCTGACCCAAATTAGACAAGAAAAGAAAAATAGTAGAAAAAACAGAAAACTTGTTAAAATGAAAAAAGGTAAAAAAAATCTAAAAGTAAGGAGCATGATTTTTAATTGCGGCCGGCTGCGGCTAAGGATGCAGTGGCCGTTGTGGTTGTTATGGTTGCTGCCCATGCAGCCACTGCATTGCACATTTCGCCCGGTTTGGTGTGAAATAATTTTATACATGTTTTATATATATAAAAATAATATTAAAATTATTATAATTATTTATCTTTTCTATAGTTTTGTATTAATTTAAATTTATTTTTAGGCTATTTTATTGTATTTATGAATAATTTGCTTTATTTTATATTAGTTTTAAATTTTAAATTATTATATTTATGAATAGTTTAAAATTTTAAAATTTTGTATTTATGCATTAGTTTTTTTAAATTATTTTTCATGGTTGGATAACTAAAATTTAACAATTTAAAAAAATATTTTGAACATTAACATAAATAATTAAATGTAAAAATAAATTTAAATTATTCAAAAATAAAAGTATCCTAACATCACAACATTATATATTTTTATTTATTTTGACTTGTTTTCTACCCATCATATTTTTAACCTAAAATTTAATTTTCATTTATTAATTTCCACATAAAATTTTTAACTAAATTTTAAATAAATTAATTAAAAATGAAATCTTTTTTGTATTTTCTCATTAAATTAATGCATGATCACCCATGTCAAACGTGACCTTACCAGCATCACAAATTCCAAATTAAGCTTTTCACAAAACAATTTATACATCACATGGTCACACTTCCAAAATTAATAAAATAAATAAAAAGTTTGGCACATGTTTCTTCTTCAGTGAACAATAGCACATCACGTACAGTGAGTGATAAACATGTCCCTTAGATTGAAAAACAAAAATTATTCTCCAAATTTCTCTCCATCTCTAAAAGCATTACTAAACTTTTAAAATAAATGTGTGAAAATAAATTTGAGTTGAAAAAATTCAAATGGCCGTTGCGGATTGATGTGGTCCGTTGTGCTGAAAATACTGTTATTATGTGTTATTTATTGTTAGGGTAATTGATAACACGAAATCGTATATATATATATTGATGCATAATTCAACTGATGTTTGACTGTTTTCGATCCGATTTCGGGTTCTTTCCATGTTATTTGTCTGATATTTTGCAGGTATTCAATGATCATGTATAAACAAAGCAATATGAAGAAAAGAAGCAATTATAGATGAAATATGAACGAAAACCAGATGAAAACGACATGAAAAACGCAGAATGCACATTTTGCTGCTGTGACGACCGTCACACCTCCATGACGACCGTCACACGGGTGACGACCGTCATGCAGGCAAAAACGCACAACTTCAAATGAACGTGCAAAATGCAGTTCCAAGTCCCAAATAATGGACCACTACTCCCTGATATTTCTGCCTCCAAGTCCACCTTCTTCCAATTACAACCGTTAGAATTCTACTTCTATAAAAGGGGAAGGAGGGGAGCTGAGAGAGGGAGCCGCATTCAGACAACAAAGTGCTGCCAATTTATCTTCAGAGCAACCTTTCCATTATTCTATTCTTATTTGTTTCTCTTTTCTTTCTCTGCATTCTTTGATATTTTGTAATTCCCATTTCCCTTGTACGATCAATTGGCACAAAGACCAGAATTCTGCCAACATTTGTGGAGGATCTGCCCAAAGGCCAATTGGAATATTTACAGGTTTTAAATTTTAATAGTAATTTCAGTTTTCATTATGATGCATGTTATTAATCACTGTTTTTATTTATGTTTTACCATTCCCAAATCCATGTCTAGCTAAATCAGAGTAATCGATATGTAATAATAATTCAGACGAGATTTGATAATAACCGGTTGAAAACTTTCTTTTTCAAATGTTGTTTATGGTCTGAGTGTTTAAACTTATTTACTGAATAAACGTTCGTCGTGAAAGCGAGAACTTATTTAAAAGTAGTTTTGCCACGACAGTGGGAAATTAATTAAGGTACGAACCAACAAGCGACAACTGCGGTAAGACCAGATAGTAAACACTAGGCATTTGTTTTAATAACAGCGAAAGCACTTTAAAATGAATTAGAACTTAGAGATTTCCAAAAAGTAGTTTAAACCCCGAATGGGACAGCGAAAGCGTACATCCGGCCCTTAGAATTATGACTAGCGTCAACAACCATCGTGAGACGAAAGTCTTCAGATCACTATTTTCTGCTTAAATAAATTCTGAAAAATATTTCATACACCGGTAACTTGTCAAATCCCCGAAGAACATAATTACTGCATATCGATTCACGTAATTATAATTCAAGTAACGTTTTTAGTTCCCTTTAGTGACAGAAATTATTTCCTTAAACATTATCTACCTAGCTAAACATAGTAACTCCCGAGAACACTAGTTTGATTACGAGTCCCTGTGGGATCGATATCTTTTATTACTACGCGATAGACTGTGCACTTGCAGTTAAGTTGTATTAGACATAGAAAGTCACGATCAAGTTTTTGGCGTCGTTGCCGGGGACCCGTTTAGTCAATAGTGTAACCTTCTGTTACGCCGTATAGACTAGGTTAACAATTTTATTTTCCCTTTACTGGTTCTGTCGATTGTATGCCAAGTAATCGCCCACAAGGCGATATCTTAAAACCGTCAGTCGCAGAACTAGAGCGCTTCTTACATTTAAGACGTCGCATCATTGAGTACCAACTAAAGCATAACATTCCCGATCCTCTCACTCCCATTCCCAAATCCGAAGAAGAATCAAAGATGGCCGAAGGACCTCAAAACAAACCGCTGAAGGCATACGCTACACCCTCTCAGATGGAGCCTAGAAGTAGCATTGCTGCCCAACTATTACTCGAAACGATTTTGAGCTGAAACCCTCATTACTGTCAGCTGTACAACAAAACCAATTCTCAGGAAATGCAACTGAGGATCCAAACGAACATTTAACGAAGTTTGTACAATACGCAGACACAATGAAAGCAAATGGAGTAACTCCAGACGCAATAAGACTTTGTCTTTTCCCTTTCTCTCTTAGAGACAGAGCGTGGAGATGTATACAATCCTTACCATCCAACTCCGTTACGACGTGGGAACAGTTGAAGAACGTCTTCTTAGCGAGATATTTTCCGCCAAGCAAAACTGCTATGCTTAGAGCTCAAATCAATGGATTTCGACAAAAAGATACTGAATCTCTTTACGAAGCATGGGAACGATTCAAAGATATGATGAGAACATGTCCTCACCATGGTCTAGAAGACTGGGTGACAATCCATACTTTCTATAATGGGCTTTTATACAACACCAGATTAACGGTAGACGTCGCCGTGGGCGATGCACTTATGGATAAGCCATATGACGAAGCCTATCAACTAATCGAAAACATGTCTCAAAACCACTGCCAATGGGGAGGTGAACGTACTCCAACAGAGAAACCCGCAGCGAAAGGTGGGATGTACGAGATCAGCAGCCTTGAAAAGTTCAATGCTAAAGTAGATGCTCTAGCACAGAAAATTGACAGTCTGACCGTTAACCCCACTGCAACCGTCGCTGCCGTAACTCCAAACTGCGAGTTATGCGGAAGCACCACTCATAATGCGCCCGAATGCCCATTGCTGGCCGGAATCCCACCAGACCAAGTAAATTATGCTCAAGGAAATCCTTACGCAAATACCTATAACCCAGGTTGGCGAAATCATCCAAACTTTTCTTACAAAAGCGATAATGCATTGCAAATGCCTACTGCTCCGCCAGGATATCAGAAACCAGCTTGTTGCGGTGGAAATAGGATCACAAACTATTAATGAGTTTGAATCGCAATTCAATTCACAACCGCTCTTTGATTTATTCGAAGGAAAAGGTCAAAAGAGGGAAAACCTATTTTTGCATCGTAAACACAATGCGGGGAAAGATCTAGGGTTCGGGGGTTGGTTAAATTTAGGGAAGGTATTAGCACCCTAAACTTCCGTAGTACTCTACAGGAACCTTTTGTTCGAATGTTTACTATTTTGCTTTATTCATTTGCTTAAGGTATATGTACAAAGATTAAAAGTGAGAAAAGAGACCTAAGGGGTTAATTCTAAGTTTACTCGGCAAGACATCGCATCTTGTGCCTACGTATCCTTACGGGAGTGGAATCAGAGTAATCGTAGTTCCCCTTAAAAGGGAGGTTAGAGACTTCTTGACTGTGGTCAAGGTCTCAAGGGGAATAAACGCATCTTAAGGACACGCTTACGTGGAGTGTAGGAACTCCAAATTTCTACGTTGAAATGTTAAGTTGTAATTAGGGTTAAATTAGGTTAGGGATTCTGCGGCGGGAAACCCTAAAATGAGCGCGGCGGCTCTTTGACCTAATGCTAGGGGTAAAATGGTAATTTAGCCTGCGGCGAGGCATTTGTAAAAATTAGGGTTTGTGAGGTTGTAGTTTTGAGGTTTTGAGGTTGAGGACTATTGACGCGGCGACCAAAAGCTAGACCTAACCTTCGGATGTGTGTAGTGTGACAGAATAATAGTGATGGAAGCGTGAGAAATTGAATCATGCAAACAGAAAATAATGACCTAATTTAACTATGCAAGCAGAAATTTAAAGGGCAGTAATTAAAACGCGATTATTAGGATTCGCGAGGTTACAACCGAGAAACATATACAATATGATAATGAACTTTGAGTGAAAAAATAAGATGAAATAAATAACGGTAAACGTAATGAGCTGCAAA